GCTTTACGAGTGGAAGTTCATAGTTTCATCTCTTGATATTAGGAGGCTTAAGTTTAAAATGCTTCGGAAACAGCTTAGGCCAAAGAAAGATCGGGTGGCGTCGTAGAATTTAATTTGATTCTACTTGCATGTACTTAAATATGCGATCATAATTTGGCTGATTATTTTGAGAGTCTATCGACTAAAGATAAATTCATCCCGACACCGGCGGATGCACTAAGCCCTTATAAGGGTTAAATGCATCCCTATTATTTTAAAAAAGTTGTTAAATTTAACTTAATGGGTTAAGAAAAAAATAAAAAAATTATAATTTTTGTATACCCATTACTTTTAAGAAAAGAAAATTAAAATATTGTACCTCTATTCTTAAAATTCTGGATCCGTCACTACATCTCAATTGGGGATTAATATGAATAATTTTTGTATTTTTTACAGTACACGATGAAATTTAGAAAACATCTTTTCTTTGAATGTTCCTTTTCGATTGATGTTTGGACACATATTTTTATATTTTGTAATCAGTCAAAAAAAATTCATTTGTTGGACAATCCAACATAATTCATATATATTTTTAAATTTAAAAATCATAACAATTATATATATATTTTGACTGAATCTAAAAAAATTATACCAACTCGACCAATTTAACTTTTTAACATAATTCATATATTTTTTGGGTTCATTACACTAAGAATCCCTTTTCTTTTTAGCATGCCTTATTTTGGTCAATATTTTTAAAAAGTTACATTTTGGTAATTTATATTACCGATTTATTATATTTTGGTCATTAGTTGTTAACTCTCGTTAGTTTACTTATGTGGCATGTTAGTAAAAACGATTTAATTTAAATTTTACATTATATTTTAGAGAAATATTAATTTAACCCTAAAATATTAATTTAACCCCTAAACTATAGATAAAAATATTTTATCTATAGTTTAGGGGTTAAATTAATCTTTTATTTAAAGTTTAGGGTTAAACTAGTATTCCATTAAAAATTTAAGGATTAAGTTAAAATTTAACCATTTTCACCTTAGTAAACTAACATGAATCAACGTTCCAATGATCAAAATAAGATAAATCGTAAACAAAATATCTATAATGTAACTTTTTTAAATTTACTAACCGAATTCAAACTGTCCAAAAATTAAAGGGGCCATAAGTATTATTTATCCATTTTCATTTGAATTCTATCCTAACTTTTTGGGACATAGAATGGGCCATGACCTTGGTAGGCCTAGACCTACATACGCCCTTGCTTACAGCCTTTATCGTGCGGTTGGGTCGTGGAACCAAGAAGTTACTTGTATTGTTACTCACTTGAAGGGTAAGTTGTTACCAAGCTTGGAATGCATTTTTGTATATGGTGTGGGTGGGAAGAAATAATAGAAATTTTGCAAATAAAATTAGTTCGAGTACCGTTGTTCTGAGTTCTATTAGTAAGGTGGTTAGAGTTAAGTTTTATGGGAAGTGTATTAATAGATCTGATCATGTAAATGAATGCTTGTGTATTGTTTGGGGAATACTCGACTTGGCAGTTAATTTTCTGTGGTACTGGTACCCGATATCTAGACGCCCTTAATAGGGACGATGCTTGTGTTTGGCGATGGTCTTATAATCATAGGTTCGATACAAATTCTGTTCATTCTCATTTGATTGTGCAAAACTAGCAACCAATAAATGTTATTCAGACCATGATCTGAGTATTTCGATTCCGCAACAACTCTCTTTATTTGACATGTTTATAAAAAAAAAAAGCTTTGGACAAATCTGAAACGCTTTTAACGTTTAATGTCCCACTCTTCATCATGTCTTCATTGTAATGGTGTGGACGGATCCGTATTATATATTCTTCGGGATTGTCCTCAGACTAAATTACTCTGGAAGCACATTTTGAATGTAATCAAATATACTTGTGTTTTTTTAGTGTAATACATAGGGTTGATTGCAATAAAACCTCTCTTTTCACGGATCAACCATGAACTCTTTTCACAATAAAAAAAGAAGCTGTATTTTGAGAAAAATATAAATTAAAATCCTTCGCTTGTTCGCTCTCTTTTGCTAGTCTCCGTTCTGAATCTACGGTAAAAGAAACCCTAACCGAGGTATTTCGGATCAAATCAGGTAGTTTTTGCAGTCTCCTTTCACAATGTTTAGACGGCTCTGATTTAATTGTTTTCATTTCTTTTTTCTGATTCAAGGGGGGGAATGGATGGATCGGGAGGAAGAGGAAGTGGGATGGATAGTGTATTACCGAATTACAAGCTTGGAAAAACGCTTGGAATTGGTTCGTTTGGAAAGGTTAAAATTGCTGAGCATATTTTGACTGGTCATAAAGTTGCCATTAAGATTCTTAACCGAAGGAAGATCAAGAATATGGAGATGGAGGAGAAAGGTTTATTTATTTATTATTATTATTAAAAATCGATTGAATTCTTTCCTTTTGTTTGTTAATGGTTTAGTTTTTTTAGGTTTTGTTCAGTTTTTGAAGTGGATACAAAATTAAGAATTAGGAATATTGTTAATTTGGATTAAAAAATTAGTTTGTGGTTTATTAATTTAATTTGTCACATGGTTTTATTTTTCCTTTTTAACTTTTTTTGTTCTGGGTGATTTTTTTTTAAGCTTGTAATATTGAAAATAGAATTTCTTAGGTTCAGTTTGGTTATTGTTTTTGCTACTTCTAACTTTGTTTTCATAAGAAAAAGAGTTAATATCATTATTATTTATTCCTGTTAGGTTGGAAACAATTCATTGAGTAAAAGTAAGAGGGAACCTTTAATAGCGTTCTCTGCATCTTTTTCAGAATTCTTGCATACTGTAGAGTGTAGTCAATTCTATTGTATGATTGTGTTGAAATGAGATCCCTTGGATGCAGGGATTTAATACACCGATCTATTCCTTGTAACAATGACTAGATTTAGGTCAGTTTTTGTGTGTGGAGATTTTTAATTATTGTTCATGCAAATGATTATGTACTATTCTTTACTCATAAAAAATACAGGAAAAGTGGAAAATGTTCTCTCTTCTCGGCTTTTAGTTTTCCTTACCGAGTGATTGAAAGAAGCTTATATTTTGGTGCAGTTAGAAGAGAGATTAAAATTTTGAGATTGTTTATGCATCCTCACATCATACGACTCTACGAGGACATAGAGACAGCAACCGACATTTTTGTGGTTATGGAATATGTGAAGTCTGGAGAACTCTTTGATTATATTGTAGAGAAAGGAAGGTTGCAGGAAGATGAGGCTCGCAACTTTTTTTCAGCAGGTCTATTTGGATATTCTCGAGTATTAGTATTTATGTACATTCTTTTTCTTGGAATTTGGAAATTAGTATGAAATCTTTGTTTGAATGCAGATAATTTCTGGGGTTGAGTATTGCCATAGAAATATGGTGGTTCATCGAGACCTTAAGCCTGAAAATTTACTTCTGGATTCCAAATGTAATGTGAAGATTGCTGATTTTGGCTTGAGCAACATAATGAGAGATGGCCATTTTTTGAAGACAAGTTGTGGAAGTCCAAACTATACTGCCCCAGAGGTAGGAGTTTGTGAATTACAATTAGTGATGAATTTCTTATTATTTATAGTCTAGAAACGAACGTTGTCTTCTTTTACTTGATAGAGAATTTTATATTGTTATGATGACATTATCCAAAACTAAGAAGATGTACATTGTTACAGGTCATATCTGGGAAACTGTATGCAGGACCTGAAGTGGATGTATGGAGCTGTGGTGTGATATTGTATGCCCTTCTTTGAGGTACCCTTCCTTTTGATGATGAAAACATTCCTAACCTCTTTAAGAAAATCAAGGTAAGAAGCATCATGTTGTCTGAGATGTCTCTGTTGGCACTATGCAGATAAGTCCTGATTTCTATGTAGGGAATTATTTGCAGGGGAATTATTTACAGGGATTACTCCCCATTACAGACGCACATATCAAAATTGCATATGAAGACTGTTCATCTATGTATTTATTTATTTATTTATACACGCATTTGCATCTTATCTTTATTTTTAATTTTCTGACTGCCGGAGGTCTTCCACGGAAGCTGCTCTCAACCTGGCGTTGGGGTCAGCCTACTACCCTACCTCCCCCTATCCCATTGCATATGGGAATCAGGTTTTGTTGTTGTTGTTGTTGATAGATAGATGGCTAGGATTTTAAGTTTTCTTTAGGGGTAAAACTTTATTTGTAACCCTAGTCTAAATAAGCTGTAAAACAGCTTTACAGCCAACTTTATTATTATTATTATTTTTAATTAATAGACTTCAGAAACCACAGGATTATATAACCCATATAAACCTATGTTTTTTTTCTAAGGTTCCAACTTCTGTCTTTACTCATTGTCCGGCCTCCGATTGCTGCTGTTTCTCCCTAAACCACACAATTTGCTTCCAATCTTGTTTCTTGCTTGAACCCTGAAAGTTCTGATAGCTTGGAATCTGCATTATTTGTCCTTCAGGGTGGCATATACACACTCTTCCAAGCCATTTATCTCCTGGTGCTAGGGATTTAATCCCACGGATGCTTGTAGTTGATCCAATGAAGAGAATGACCATTCCTGAGATTCGCCAGCACCCATGGTTTCAAGCACATCTTCCAAGATAATTAGCAGTCCCCCCGCCAGGTTCAATGCAGCAAGCAAAAAAGGTTCATTTTTTAGATGGGTAATTGCGGAGGCTAAGGCAATATTACTGTGTATTTGCAGGTGCTGACACAGTTCTTAATATAATTAGTGTTTCCACAATGTTATATTGAACTAAAGGGTAATTTTTATGTATTATCATAGAATTAACTTATGTTTCATATACTATTCATACAACTTGCTGAAGAAAGAAAAAAATAACAATAAATTCCACCAAAATGATGGTAAATGGCTAGAAATATGGATTTTACTTGTGCTGGTGGTTAGAATTAAGAAAAAAATAATGTTTAATTTGTTTTTCCATATTCGTTTTTGCACATAAACAAATAGTTATATGAATGCAAAGTTACGGGACGAAGCTTGAATATGGGTTAACAGTGGAGATGGGTGGAAGATCAAGGGAGCTCCAAAGAGATTCACTATCACTCAAATCAAATGAAGATTGTGGGCTTTCTTCCGGCTTTCCCCCCACCATTTCTGCATCATCTTCATTACCTTTCTTCTTCTTACATGCATTTCCGAGTTCTGCCAACTCTTCCGATATCCTCGCATTTTTTGGGCCACACTTTAGCCTCAACAGCTCCGCTATCCCATTGAAAGCATAGAGAGAAGCAGAGAATTTGCGTTCATATGCCATTCTCTTCATCGCGCCACTAATCATCAAAGGTTCATCCCCGAAACTCTCTTCCTCCATCAATGTTTCAATCACTTCTGCAATCTGAAAAGGTGAGCAATAGCACGATGATTCCATGTTATCAACGAAATTAAAATCAATTGCCTCCATTTCTTCCCCTTCTTCGTTATCGGTAGTGCTTTTGGTGTCATCATTGGGGATGGAAGAATGATCATTGGGAGAATCGGGAAACTGGGCTTCAAAGAAATCTGATGTTTCTTTTTTGTACTTGTTCACTGATTGCTGATTGATGGGTTCGGAAACGGGTAAAAGAGCACATGAAGTGTTTGAATTAAGTCTCTGCAGAACAAGATTGGTTATCTTTGAAGAAAGAGCTGGATTTGGATTAGAACATGAGGAGAAGTTTGTCTTCGTATTGGGACCACGTAGCAAGCAAGCAGCTTCGTCATATGCCATGGCGGCTTCCTCTGCAGTATTGTAAGTGCCTAACCATACCCTTACCTTCTGTATGGTATCTTTAATCTCAGCAACCCATCTGCCTGACGGTCTTTGCCTGACCCCCAAAAATCCCTTCCTTCTTCTACTTGCTCCTCCCGATGCGGTGGCTTCCACCGCAGCTGCCTTCACTATTTCATCCCAAGTCATTTCTTGGTCAGCTTCAGAAGCAACTTCACTAGCCTTTCTTTTCCTAGCCATTATTGCTTTATTTTTGGTTTGGATATCGAGCGAGTTTTGTTCTACTTTAGCTACGGGGATTGGCAGATGGTTTGGTTTTTGATTTTGAGCTCTCAATTTATATGACAAGAGTGAGTGATGATCTTGCCACAGGGAATTTTTGTTTTGAAAATGTCTTGATGCCTCTGCTTAGCATTTTGTTTTCACCCTCTCCTTACTCATTTTTGAATATTATATAAACATAAATATATATCATATGATTGGTGCATTTCAGGCTATTTTGGCCTGACCAAGTCATAACATATATTTGCTTCCATTTGTTAACTACCAAGCACTTCATTATTTTTTTAAAACGCCGTACTAAAAGATTGTTTTTTTTAATAATTTGCTATTCTAATAGTCCAGCTTGATCAGCGTTATAGTTTAATAATAAAATTATTTTAATTATTTTATTCTTATAATCAACAGTGATTTGAGCATTCCAAATTATGTGAATTCAGGTTGAAATTAGAAAATTTAGAAGTCCTGAAAGCATGACTTGACCCTACTAGTGGTTGCCGGCAACTCATTTTAGCATTTTATTTAATTATGGTTATTGAATCCAATATTTTAAAAGGGTTTCCTTATTCAATTCTTAGGCATTAAATTGATTTATTTGTTCTTAGATATAAAAAATAGCATGTATATATATATATAGGTATTGAAAAAAATGGAAAGAAGAATCTTTGAATTAAACAAGTCCTCATAAAATCATTTAAGTCATATATTAGAAAAATTTTAATATCATTATTCATATATTTTATAATAAAATTAAAATAATCATATGAAGGAATACATGATGGGATTGTGGTATTATATTATAATAAATCAATTTGAGATTATTTAAAGTTGTCTAATGAGACAAATTTTCCCTTTTTGTGTTATTTTATACCTCTGAAGGCAATTTTGTGTCAAGAATAAATTTATAAATTTTTTGGAGGGAGTAAATTTATAAAATTTTAAAGGATGAGAATATATTATAAAAATATGTAAAATTTTCAGGTCCTTTTACTCTATTCCTATTTATATTAAAAAGTTTGTGAAAGTGTTTTTGAGGGGAATAGGGCAACAAAGGATAGATTGATTTGGAAGATGTTGGGTGGCTTTTTCCATGGTATTAGTTGACACAACCTTGAAGAAGGATGTTGTGGACTTTGCCTAGTTCCAAAACCCTTGAACTTAACTCATTCAAATTCAACAGATTCCCAATCAAACAATAGTTTAGTCCAAAGGAAAACCATAGCAGTTAGGAGCTTTGATTGCGGAAGACATCATCCAAAACAGCTAGGTTCAAAGCAACCCAATTCCAGCTTCCATCGGCATGCATGGAGCACACCAGAATATGCTCAGTCCTGGACATGTTCACGTCCACATTGGGATCTTTGAATGGTCCATGATCCGAAATCCAGTTGTCACGCCAAAAATCCCCTAATAGCCCATTACTAACATTCCGGACAGAGATAATCATTTCACCCAGACTTAACGGTTTCGATCTGGTCCAATCCGGTTAGATCAATTTTTTTATTTTGAATTTATAGTGAAAACAACTCAATTTGACCCAACATAATATTATAATTATCCATTATATATTTAGAGATAACTATAATAATATTCTTTTTATTTTTTTAATCATGTTCTTATTTTACACACACATATATGTCCAGATTAAGTTGAGTCAAGTGAGAGTTTCAATCTAAAAAATTATATCGATTTTTGGATTAGATATGACCATCTTAAACTCGGGTCGAGTCGGATGTAATAGAAAAATTAATTTTTCAAATCAGATTCGAGCGGGTCAAAAACTCAATCAGATCCGAGTCAACGCAATCCATTATCATCCCTAATTCCAAATCACATCATTACATACAGCATCCCAAGCTGGGTTAATACCTGTCCAAAGATGAGTACAAGTGGTGGCTTTCAATGACAAACACCCTTACACATGTAAAAGATTGAATCCAAGCGAAAGTCTTGTAATGTGTATCAAGGCAATAACTTGATGAATTGGGCGATAAACATCTTCCCATTAAACCAAACTCACCCTGTTTTTCCGGGGTATGGCCTCATACAAAATTTCTAATCAGTCTTTCCAGAGCCACACTAATATATTTAGGAATAGCGGTTGATTTGCATAGTATTTGGTTGTAACACACACCTGGGCAAAGTGATCCCAGCTAGCCAGATAAATGGTGTTTAGCCTCCCAAGTCCCAAGCTAAGAGCTTCCTCTTTATTTTCTTCAAAACATAGACGCATAAATGGTGTTTGACACCAACCAGATCAAACTCCAATCCACAACTAATAAGCTAGAAGAAACATTCTTCGACGAAAACTTACCTGATGCCCTAATTCAACAATCGAATGTGCTAACATCTTTATATATAAAACAAAGATACTCCTATTAGAAGATAAAAAGGATATCTTTGACAAATGAATGCCTAAACACCTCTGTCAAAGTCCACCTATTTTGCAGCTGGGTTAACCAAGAATAATAAGAAAGATGAAATGGCCTATCCTCCGAGCTTTCCTTTCGTTTTCTCCTTGCTTCATTCGTCCCTTCCTTCGGTTATGTGCCCAACGATCTGCCCTCGCCACTGCCAAAAAACTCCATGCCTTAATCCTCACTACTGGCCTTTCCACACCCCAAACTTCCTTTCTCCTCAACACCCTACTCCACCTTTATGCCTCTTGTGGTGATATACCCTCCCCCAGAAACTGTTTGATCATATTCCCCGCACAAGCAAGGATGTTGCAGACTGGACATCCCTCATGTTCTTTTCGCGCCAAAATAGGCCTCGTGATGCTATACTTTTGTTTGCTCAAATGCTTGAAAACAGGACCGAGATTGATGATGTGGCGATGGTGTTGCAGAATATGGTTATCGGATAGAGCAAAATCGTAACTGATAATTTGAGAAAAATAAAAATGAAAATAAAGAAGACACAAATTTTACGTGGAAAATCCCTAAATAATATAAGGTAAAAACCACGGACAACGGTAGAAGAATTTCACTATGAGAAAATAGGAATTATAACTTCTCTCGATCTAACAATGAGAAAACAATAACAATTCTCTCTTAAAAAAGGGAAAACAACTCTCAAGAAAATTCTCTAAATTCTCTAGTATTGGTAGAAAGCTAGAATGATTTGGGATGGTTTTGAAGCTAAATGGGTTAGGGTATTTATAGTTCAAGCTTAATGACTAATATTATAAATACCTTAAAATTTAGGGACTAAATGTTATAATTATCCCTTGATTAATTCAACAAAAATAATTGCCCAATTTTGAACAAAAGCAGCCGTCGGCTGCTATGAATTTCAACAATCTTCCACTTGAAGATTTGATTGAGACAATCATATCTTCACTCTCAATCATATCTTCACACAATTCTTTTTACCTTGTACCTTCACGTTGTTTATATTTCTGTTAGGCCACAAGAGGATCGACACCAAGTAAATTTATCAGCATTGATTGCCTTCGTCATGAAATCTGCTATGTTGTCTTTGGTATGGATCTTCTACATATCTACCGTTCATTCTTCCACCTTTTCACGAATGAAGTGGTACTGAACTCGTATGTGTTTTGTCCTTGAATGAAATGTTGGATTCCTTATTAGATGCAATGCGCTTTGATTGTCACAAAACAGAGAGACATACTCTTGATTATGCCCAAGCTCCTCCAATAGCATGTTCAACCAAATTGCTTCTTTACTGGCTTGTGTAGCTGCTACATATTCTGCCTCTATTGTGAATGTAGCCACAACTGACTGCAATTTTGAAACTCAACTTACAGCTCCACCGGTAACTTTGAACACATATCATGTAGTATATTTTCTTTTATCAAAATCCCTTACATAGTCAGAATCTACATATCTATTGATTAGTAAATTTGATCCTCCGTAACATAATGCAACATTTGAGGTCCCTTTGATGTATCTCAGGATCTTCTTTATTGTGTTCCAATGCTCATTGCCTGGATTCGCCATGTCCCGACTAACCACTCCCACTGCTTGTGTAATGTCTGGTCTTGTGTATATCATAGCGAACATTAAACTTCCCACTGCTGATACATACGGTACTCGAGACATCTCCATCATCTCTTCTTCACTTCTAGGACTCATACTGGAGGATAATTTGAAGTTAATAAGAAGAGGGGTAGAAATTGGCTTACAATCTTGCATGTTGAATCGTGACAAGTTCTTTTTCAAGTAATTCTTTTGTGAAAGCCAAATCTTCCTATTACTTCTGTCTCAGTGAATTTGCATCTCTAGAATCTTGTTTGCTAATCTAAAATCATTCATTTCAAATTCCCTAGCCAGTTGTGCCTTTAATTCTTCAATATGATCTTTGTTGGGTCCTGCAACCAATATGTCATCCACATACAACAACAATATAACAAAATCGTTATCACCAAATCTCTTGAAATAAGCACAAGAGTCTATATTAAATCTGTTGTATCCAAGGCACATAATAAAGGAATTAAATCTCTTATACCAACACCTCGGCGCCTGCTTTAGACCGTACAGAGATTTGTTCAACCTGCAAACCAAGTTCTTCTTTTCTTTTTCTTCAAAACCTTCAGGCTGTAGCATATAAATTTCTTCTTCAAGATCTCCATGAAGAAAAGTTATTTTAACATCTAGCTGCTCTAGATGTAAGTTCAATGTAGCAGACATTGCTAATACTACTCGAACTATTGTTAGTCGAACCATAGGAGAAAAGATTTAATTGAAATCAATACATTCTTTTTGACCATATCATTTGACCACCAATCTTGCACAATACCACTCCACTTGATCATCACCATTTTGCTTGATTTTGAAGACCCATTTGTTACCAATTGGTTTCCTTCCTTGTGGTAGTGGCACAAGGTCCCATGTATTATTTTTATGAAGGGCTTCAATTTCTTCTTGCATCGCCATCATCCACAGTGAAGCACCTGAGCTGTTTATTGCCTCCTAGTATGTTGATGGCTCACCATCATTTGTTGAAAGGTAGTATGCAACATTTCCTTCTATAACATAATCTGAGTGATAATTGGGACATCTTCTCACACGATCTGATTGACGAGTTGTTGGAGCTTCAGAACTCTCTGGTTCTTGTTCATCATGTGTTGGTTATGCTTCAAAATAATCTCCTTGTTCAACCTCCTTTTCCACATGTATATGTGTAGTCTCTGACTTTTCAGCGCTATTATCGTCTTCTTTTCTTTGTAGTTTATCTTCTACAAAGATAACATCCCTGCTACTGATCACTTTGCGGGCAGTGGGATCCTACAAGCGATACCCCTTTACTCCATCAGCATACCCCAAGAATTTGCATTTCTTTGATTTTGGATCCAACTTCGAAATTTCTTGGGAGTTGTACATCACGTACACAATACTTCTAAATACACGGAGGTTTGAATAATCAACTGGTTTACCAGTCCACATCTCCATTGGAGTCTTCAGCTCTATTGCAGTTGATAAAGCTCGATTCACCAAATAACAGGCGGTATTGACTGCTTCTGCCCAAAATGATTTTTCTAGGCCTGCAACTCTCAACATTGCTCTTGTTCTTTCTAACAATGTTTTGTTCATCCGCTCTGCCACTCCATTTTGTTGAGGAGTGTTCGCCACTGTGAACTGTCTTTTGATGCCTTCTTTCCTTCAAAAGTCATCAAATTCTTCACTTGTGTATTCTCCTTCATTATCTGTTCTGAAACACTTGATCTTATTTCCAGAATCAAGTTCCACCCGCGCTTTTAAGTTTTTTGAAAGTTGAAAACACGCCTGACTTTTTCTTAATAGGGTACACCTAACATCTCATAGAGTAGTCATCAATAAATGAAACAAAGTATTTTGCTCCGCCTAGGGATGTAACTGGTGCTTGCCATACGTCAGAATGAATCAATTCTAGAACACTTTTACCTCTAGAATTTGATGTGTTGAATTTCAACCGATGCTGCTTACTTGTTATGCAATGCTCACACAAAGTAAGTGATACTTTTGTTAAGCCTAGAAGTAGTTTTTGCTCCGCAATGACTTTCATTCCTTGTTCTAACATGTGTCCAAGTTTCTGATGCCATAGCATTGCAGAATCTGAACTACATGAGGCAACAGAGGATTCTGCTTCTAGCAAAGTCTCTCCCTTCAGCATGTACAAGTTTGCTGCTATCTTTTCTCCTTTCATCACCACAAGCACTCCACGGAACACCTTCATGATTCATTTCCGTGTTTCAATCTTACTTGCATTATTATCAAACAATCTGTAGGATAATAAATTTTTCTTCAGGCCTTTCACGTGCCACACATCTTGAACAACTTTGATTGTTCCATCATACATATTCAATTTGATAGTTCCCACGCCAACGATCTCTAAGGCATGATCATTGTAACTATACACATATCCTCCTGAGACAAGTCCTCTTGAGGTCATGTGATATTTTGCTCCCGAATCAATGAGCCATATATATGCAAATCTTTTTCTTCCTTCCACGGTGGTTGACACTTCACAGCATAGAGCATCTTCTTCAAGTGACTCTTCTTTCCACAGTTGTAGCACTTTAAATTCTTCTTGCTTCTCGACTTTGGTATACCATGTTTGTGACAATTGCTTTGGCCACGTTCGGTTGATCTCCCTCTCATCGTTGTCAACGCTTTTGCTTGTTGCAGATTTACTTGTCTGTCTTCATTGTTCTTGCGCTGATTTTCTTCTTGTAGAACAACAACTGTAACTTCATCGAAGACTAGACTGGTGACATTACTGTTTGTTAAGTTGATGATGAGTTGATCATACGAATCAGGTAGACTTTGAAGTAGAAGTTCAGCACGTTCTTGTTCTTCTATTGTACATCTTAAGGATGTAAGCTGAGAAAATAAAGTGTTCAGCGTGTTTCAATGCTCCGTCACTGAAGTAGATTCTGACATACGAAGAGTGTACAATTTCCTCTTAAGGAAAATTTTATTGTGCAACGATGTGGCCTCTTACAATTTGATGAGATGATCTTATATCTCCTTAGTTGCCTTCTTCTCCTCGATGCTTGACAATACTTCATCTACTAATGCTAGATGAAAGTTTGTCATAGCATTCTCGTCCATTTCGATCCATTTGTTGTCATATATGAAATCTATCGGTCTTTCACTGATAGCTGCTAGACAACGTCTTTCCTCAGGATGACCTTCATCTTCAATTTCCACAGTGAGAAATTTCTCTCATTGAATTTTTCAATATCAAATTTCGTTGTCATAGCTTCTATTACGGATAACTCCCATTATTTCACTATTCGTGAATAGTTCTCTAGAACCTTCAAAAAATGGGTAATATCTTCTTACTTTCTTATGTTGGAGGATCCACATTTTGGTGACAACCACAAAGACAATAAGTAGATATTACAACCTCTAATCTGGCTCGGATACCAATTGTTGCGAAATACGGATATCGGATAGAGTAAAATCGCAACTGATAATTGAGAAAAATAAAAATGAAAATAAAGAAGACACAAATTTTACGTGGAAAACCCCTAAATAATATAGGGTAAAAACCACAGGCAACGGTAGAAGAATTTCACTATGAGAAAATATGAATTACAACTTCTCTCGATCTAACAAAGATAAAACAATGACAATTCTCTCTTGATAAAAAGGAGAAAATAACTCTCAAGAAAACTCTCTAAATTCTCTAGTATTAGGATAAAGCTAGAATGATTTGGGATGATTTTGAAGCTAAATGGGTTAGGGTATTTATAGTTGAAGCTTAAGGATTAATCTTGTAAATACCCTAAAGTTTAGGGACTAAATGTTGTAATTATCCCTTACTTAATTCAACAAAAATAATTGCCCAATTTTGAATAAAAGAAGTCGCCGACTGCTATGACTTTCAACAGATGGTTTGCTTGTTTAGTGCGTGTGCATGTTTGCGAGATGTTGGGGTGGGGAGTCAGGGCCATGGCCGTGTGGTGAAGATGGGTCTGGAAGGGAGTTTGAAAGTGTGTAACGCGCTGATGGGTATGTATGGAAGGCTGGGATGGTGGCGGATATGAGAAGGGTTTTTTTTGTGAGATGGGGGAGAATAATGTGGTGTCATGGACGGTGGTTTGGCTGGGGTGTTGAAGTGAGAGGGTGTAAGTAATGGAAGGGAGGTGTTTGATGATATGCCACACCGAAACGAGATCGCATGGACGATAATGATTGTTGATTATGTAGGGAATGGATTTAGCAAGGAGGGCATTTTGCTTTTGAGTCGGATGTTGTTTCATTATGGGTTTAAATTGAATTATATAACACTTTGTTATTTACACAGTTCGGAGATGTGGTGATGGGTAGATCGGTTCATGTTTATGGCTTGAAGATGATGGGGATGGAGATGGATATCATGGTGGAAACTGCCATACTGGATATTTATGCAAAATGCGGGAGGGGTGATACTGCAATCAAAGTTTTCAAGTGCATGCCGCAACGTAATGTCATGGCATGGAACGCTATGCTTAGTGGACTAGCTATGCATGGACGAGGCCGAGTTGTGGTCGAAATGTTCTGGCAGATGATTAAGGAAGTCAGGCCGGATGATTTAAACTTTATTGCAACGTAATGTCATGGCATGGAACGCTATGCTTTGTGGACTAGCTATGCATGGACGAGGCCGAGTTGTGGTCGAAATGTTCTGGCAGATGATTAAGGAAGTCAGGCCGGATGATTTAACCTTTATTGTTGTTCTAAGTGCTTGCAGTCATTCTGGTATGATCGATCAAGGATATTATTATTTTGATCTCCAATCTGTTTATGGTATTACGCCCAAGATCAATCACTATGCTTGTATGGTGGGTCTACTTGGAAGGGCTGGTCGTTTGGAGGAAGCTGAAACTTTGATAAACCAAATGCCAATACCTCCAAATGAGGTGGTTTTGGGATCTCTTCTAGGTTCCTGCAATTCCCATGGAAAGCTAGAATTGGCCGAACACGTTCTGCAAAAGCTAGAATTTGTATGCAAAATGCGGGAGTATCATATACTGCTTTCAAATGTATGCATTGGCTGGGAAGCCGGACAAAGCGAATGCTCTTCGGAGAGTAATTAAAACTAAAGGAATTAGGAAGATTCCTGGAATGAGTTCTATCCATGTAGATAGCCAACTTCATCAATATATGTAGGTGATAAATCTTACCCAAAAACCCAGGAAATTTATATCGTCTAAGAAGATATGATTCGAAGGTTGCAATTGGCCGGATATGTTCCGAATCTGGCTGCACAAGTGTTTCCTGATTCTGATGGTGTGGAAGATGCTGGGGTCAGTTTGGAGAAGGAGCAGGCACTGTTTTCGCACAGCGAGAAGCTGGCAGTCTGTTTTGGACTTTTAAGCACAAAACCTGGTAAGCCTCTGTATATTTTCAAGAACTTACGACTATGCCATGACTGTCATGCCGCCATTAAGATTGTTTCGAAGATCTATGACCGGGAAATTGCAGTCCGAGATCAGAACCGGTTTCATTGTTTTAAGGAGGGATCATGTTCTTGTTGTGATTTCTGGTAACCATTGACTGTTATAATCTAAACATTTAAATATCAAATTATATTGCTCTTTCTAGCCCCCCGGGAATGCAAGATGTGTATATTCTTTTCATTGTCTTCGCATTGATTCGAAGAGAAACATGTACATACAATTTGTCCTCATTTTCCCATTGTTAAAATTGTATCAACTGTCCAAATAATTTGATTAAAACTGAAAATATCAATATTTTAACGGCCTGATGGCTCTTAGGAAGAAATCATTTCAAAGTTACTTTTTCAAAGAATTATATAAATATTACGTATTGTACCAACCGGGGATGTAGATCAAATGGTAGAGCGCTCACTTTGTATGCGCATGAGGCATGGGTTTGATCCCCATATTTCCACTTTTTTTTTCTTCTAAATTTAAATTCAGAAACAGAGAGATGAAACAATAATAATTTTTCCCCAATGTTAATTGTAACTTTGGAAAATAAATAATATCTGTACATTCTCAAGAATCTTGGAGTTGGAGAAGCTCTTCAGATATCCCAAAGAATGTTAAATCAGAAACCCTCAACAACAATAGTGATAATTTATTGGACCACTTCCTCTTTAACCCTAACTCGATATCTTAAAATGGCAATGCATGCAGCAGTGTTTTACTCTTTTACATTGAAGTATCGACGCATATCGGACCTTTCCCTCTTGAATTTACTGTAATCCGCAAGCAAGCTACCATCTACTTTCTGCTTCATGCTCTCAACCAACTTTGTCATCACCTGTCAGTACTCAATAGTTCAACTTCTGGAATAGTTAGATGCACAAAATATACGATTCGAGAAATATTGATATCGATGAAACAATATGGTACATGAAGGGTTTTTTGATGTTCTGACCCCTTTTCCGAGGCTGTTCCGCACATTTTCAGGAATCAAAGCGAGTGCAGGAGGAAGGACGAAATTTACATGCATCTCTAAATGACCCCTGAGCCGGGTTCTACTTCTTCTATCAGGGTATAATGTTCCTTTCACGTCGAGTGTGAAATGAGATGGATCAACAACATTACCAAGCCCTTGGAGTTCCCATCTTGTCTACAAGATGAGAGCATTGGATCGGATAAGAGGAATGATTTACATAAAAAAAAAAAGAATTTTCAGTGCAATGTGCAAAGCTTTGTTCATTCACTGCTTACAATGTCGAGCTCGAGAACTTTCGTGATATCACAAGGGACTTCCGGCGGGTAATCTCTACCTCCTGATTTGCATATCAGCCTCAAGTCCACTACTGGCCAGACGTTTAGAACCAATAACTGCAGAGGCAACATCTGGATTCTCCATTCATCCTGCACAAGTTCGGAACATGTCCGGCCAAATATGGAAAAAATATTGTTGGGACAGCTTGAAAAGGTGCTGATTTCTTGTAGTAATCATGAATTCTAAACATTGTTTTCAATTATGTTAAGCAAATTGCAGTTGTATATTTCAGATTTACGCAAGCAAATGAACCTCCAAAACCCAAGCTTGAACTAAGAAATAATGTAAATGGAACTCAATGCTAACCCTGTTCAGATTTTAGAATCTATGGCAAACTTTTCTTAGAAATCATGCGTTTTTCCATTCCATTCTTGCAGTTATATTATAGACCTCGGAAGGTGACAATTTTCTAATGGCCAGTTTAGTTGTGTTTTTTGCAATCAACTAAAGCTATGTGAACAGATTGGTCACTACAAACCAGACAATTATGTTCAAAGTCTTTGCATAATGTAAACAGCATATTAGCTCCAAGAACATGTGGATTTTAGTTCACGCTTGTTGATCAATAACATTTGGATTTTACTGCTTGTTGATCAATGAAGCAAAATGTTATCAATCAACTTTAGTAGAATAAGACGAGCATGCTTTTACTAGGTTTCGATTAGTATGTCTATTACTACCTGATCACTACCGCTCACGTGACTCAAGTTATCTATAGATTTTCTTCATTTCTCTTTCATTATGAGTTCTATACATCCTATAATAGTCTTCTCCCTATCCCTTCCCCAAATTACAGAATTGTATTATTTCTTCATCCTTTGATAAAACACAGATTCTAAATCTAAACAAATGAACTTGCTTTCTGGTTTATGTCCTCCAGCCACCATGGCAAATAAGACCAGAAAACATACAAAACAAAGGGGGGGGGGGGGGAACATTTCCCATGTTACTTGAACTCGAGTCTATATGTAGGATATGTCATATGTATCGGACACAGATATTTTTCAACTTTTTCATGATTTTTTTTAAAGGAAAGAACTATATTTGCTTTGTCGCAGAATAACAAAATAAGCTACCATATCAACAAAATATTGCTTAAAATTTATACCAAAAAGGAATAAAAATCAAAGAAGAAAACCAAGAACCTTATTAAGCTGTTGGCTTCTACTACTATCAGGGAACATTGCCTTAAAAATTCTGGGTTTATCATCCAAATACTCATCGAACAAAGCCTGTTCAAGGAATCAACCACAATTTCATATTCACAATCTCACATTCACCAGCAACAATGAATCAATACCCATTTCATGAAAAAAGGTAAAAAAACAAAAATCAAGAAATTAGTTAATGGGATTACCCCGGGAATCTCATATAGAGGAATATCAGTGAAAATTCTTGCGGAATGTGTAGCTGCTAACTCGTTTGTGACCAAATATTTGTGTGCTTTCGGCTTGGTATTTGCCTGGCATTGGAATTCCGGTTTCTTGAGCTTCAATTGCCATTTTCCATTGCTGAAATTGTCGGGTCTGGAAACGAAATAATTGCGTTGACATGAGGAAAGAAAACCTGAAACAACAACTTCACTCATTATCTGAATTTCCTTTTCGAAATTCTGGGTTTGCAAAATAAAGACAAATAATGAAGAGAGCCAAGATTGTGCTTGATAAATTTTGGTGGTGATTGATTAAGAGAGTGAGATATAAGCATATCTGATAGGCTGATAGTATATCCCTATTTTTTCTGTTACATGGCATCCTGTTGGAGATTGCACGTGGTGACCATTCCTAAACATTGGCCGCTTATAAAAATATAGGTAAATTACATTATTAATCAATTTTATTTAAATTTTATGTATTTTTGTGCAACATTTTATAATATTCGACAAGCATTAACTATAAGTATTATTAATTTAATTTATAAAATTTTAAAATTTTAAAAGATTAGATGTATAATTATAAATTAGCTAAAATTTTAAAAAGTAAATTATTTAAAATAAAATAATTATTAAATTATTTTCATATTTTTGTGGGGTAAATCATAACATTGACCATTCAACTATTTAATCATTTTACTTTTACCACCAATCTTTTAATTTTGTCAATCAGATAACCTAACTGTTTAATTGTTGTCAATCAAGCCATCTATCGTTAACATTTGACGTGACAGATAATAAAACTGACATAATTTCACATTTAGTCCTCAATAGTTATATATTTTATCAATTTTATCCTAATTTTAGTTTAATTTATTAAATTTATTCCTCTAATCAGATTTTGGCACGTGTCACAACATGGTAATATGTGTCAGCATCTGATTGGATAAAAATCAAATTAAACAATTAAAATATAAAAATCCTCCGGTCATTTTGTGACATGTTACAATTTGATAATATGATTAAATTTAATAAATTAAATTAAAATTAGGATAAATTGATAGAATTTATAACTATTGAGGACTAAATGTGGAATTATGCCAATTTTGTTAACTGTCACGTCTGGTCAACTGTTAACGGCATGTGGCTTGATTGACAAAAATTAAATAGCTAAGTGATCTAATTGATAAAATTAAAAAATCAGTGGTAAGGGTTAAATAGTTGAGTGATCAATGTTATAGTTTAACCAAAAAATTATGAAAAATAATGTAAAAGATATTTTATTTTAAATAATTTACCTTTAAAATTTTAACTAATTTATAATTATACGTCGAGTCTTTAAAATTTTAATTTTTTATAAATTAAATTAATGATGTTCATCGTTAGTGGTGTTCAACTTACTCGTCGAGCGTAACAGACTCATCATTTTTTTTATTAAATTCAAAAAACATAATATTTGCTCTCTCTATTTTTTGTTTAATTGATAAGTAGTTATTGAAGGTTAATTTTCGTTATGCTAGTAACGACTTGTTGACATAGTATAGTAAATTTATAAAATGATAAATGATAAACTACAAAAATGGCCACTAATATTTAAGTAAATTTTCATTTTCTCAATTGAAGTTTTAAAAATAAAAATTTTGCCACTAAAACATCAAACTAAGTCATTGAACAATGATTTTATATATAATTTATTATAAAAACTTTCTAATATTTTATTTATCATTCGAAACATTTGATTTCTTTAAGTCCAAAAAAGTTAATTTCTAAGCTTTATTTTTAAAATTTTAAAATTATATATATATATATATAGGGACAATGGAAAAATTAGAAGTTTTATGGGTTAATTAGATATAATATCATTGTTTAAAGACATATTTAATGTTTTAATGAACTTTAGTGGAAAAATTGAAAACTTTCTCAAATATTTGTGACAATTAGATGTAATTTACTCTTTTTAATTTTTTTAAATTCATTGTGTTACATCAGCAATCTATTAATGATCACATCTTAACTAAACATAATCGAAAATGTCAAATTTTTTTTTTTGAATTCAATGAAAAAATATGTACAAAATTTAAACGAAAATAATCAATCTTGTAGTCTACCCTAAAAATATTTATGTACTACAAAACTTATATATATATATATATATATATATATATATATACACAAAAATGTTATTAAATAAATTTAAATAAAAAATTATATTATATATTGTGTATAAATTTTAGTTTACACAAAACTTAAAATATTATGTGTATGGGTGAGTAAAATTTCTCAACTTAAAAATTAACTTTTTTGATTTTATTTGATTTAAAATATTTTTAAGTGAAGTTATAAAATAAAACTCGAATAACTTAATTTTTTAATAATTAGCTGATTGATTTTTAAGTTCGAGTTGAGTCTTTTAATTTTATATGATATATATATTACATGTGAAACATATGAAAATATATGTGTATTGTATATGGTTATAGAAAACCGTTTAAATTGAAATCAAATAGTATTCTAATGTTACAAATATTTACAACTAAAGTTAAATAGAATCTCGAACAACTTGACTCGATTTTATTTTATAAATTCAACTCGAAAAAATTGGAAATGATGTTTATAAAAAAAACTCATCAACTCGAATAACTCAAAATCTTTTTACTTGACTCAATTAAACATTCACACTAATTATGTGTCCTATTTAAAATTTAAGATTATATGGTTTAGTTTTTTTATTTATTAATTTAGCGTGATTATAAGTGATATTATTTGTTCTAAATACTTTTAATCATTTAATAATGAATACTCAAATATCATGATATTCTTTGATACTTGACATGTGACCTCTAAGAATAGCAAATATTCATTTAACTTAATTCATACTTATGTTTTAAATTTTAAGATCTAAGTTAATAATTTAATTTATAGAATAGATTAGAATTTTATATTTTTTTTATAAATAAAATTTTATATTTTAAAATCCAAAAAAAATATATAAATTTTAATTTTCATAAAATGTGTATAACAAAATTTTTCATACAAAAATCACTAACTTGAATAACAGTTATCGGTCCAACTGCTATCTAAATTTTAAAGCGTGACCCGTCCTCAACCCAAACCTGTGACATGAAATCCTCATGTCGTGTTGTCGTGTTGTCGGCTACTGGAGTTTTGTGTGACAAGACAGTGCCTCTAAAACTCAAGAGAAAATTTTATAGAATGACAATAAGACCAGCGCTGCTGTATGGATCATAATGTTAGAAAATCAAGAAGGATCACATAAGGAGGATGGAGGCCGCAGAAATGAGAATGCTTCGATATACATGTGGTAGGACTCTGTGGGATATGACATCAAACTATGCTATTAGGATGTCCTTGGTGCATGTATTCGAAAAATTGAGGGAGGGAAGACTACGATGGTTTGGACATATTCTTAGACGACAACTGTCGGATGCGGTCAGGAGGGTAGAGTCGATTTCAGTCGACGTGGAAAGAAAGAGAGGACGACCAAGGAGGAAGTGGGTAGACTGCTTGAGATTTGATTTGAAAGATTTATCCCTTACTGAGGACATGACATCTGATAGGAAAGTATGGAGACTTAAGACCAGGGTAGCCGAGTAGTGTGGGTCAACAACCATAGGGTGTAGCATCTCTGTCTTCTTTTTAATTGCCTTTGTAGTAATTTCCATGACCTTTACTTTTTATTACGTTTCTGTCATTGAAATTTATAAAGGCTTAGAACTAGGGTAGCGGAGTAGGGTTGCATTAGTTTAGGTTTTAATCCATTTTAACTTTATTCCTTCTCGTAGCTTGCTATCGTTGACTTCCGTGTATCATTCTCTTCATGTTTCATCTTTTTAAATTTAGCCAGGACTTAGGTTTCTGTCTATATGCAGAGATTTTTAGGCAGGGTTTTATTTGTAGGGATTACATCCCATTACAGACGCGCATATGAATGACTACATATGAAGACTGTCCAATTATGTATTTATTTATTTATTTATACATGCATTGTATTTTATTTGTATTTTTAATTTTCTGAATTGCCGGAGGTTTTTCACGAAAGCTGCTATCAATATGATGTTGGGAGCAACCTACTAACCTACCCCCTTTATCTCATTAAAATATGAGAATAGGGTTTTGTTGTTGTTGTTGTAAATATAGAAAAAATCCAATCAAATCTCTGTTTTCCAGCAAAACGCCGCCGTTTTCCTTCGTTTCCTATATCCAAGCCATGGACGTCTCTGTTTACGCTTCTAACCCTAAATTCAAGATCTATTTTCAATTTAATTATAAAAGGCTTACTCACATCATAGCTCTCACATTTCCCCCATTTCAGCTGAAACTTATTTCCTTTCGACAATCAAGTCAAACAATGCCGTACTACTCAAGGGGCGGTGATGATGAGTTCGACGAGTTCGACGAGTTCGATCCGACTCCTTACGGTGGCGGATACAATATCGAATTGACCTACGGTCGCCCCTTGGAACCATCCGATGAGACTTGCTACACTTCAGCCACACCATCCGATGGCGACTTTGATTACCGCCGTCCCGATTTCTCTTCCGGTGCCGAGCACCTTGCTTATGCCGACGAAGCTCTCCAAACTGAATACAGTAGCTATGCCAGACCCAAGCCCCGACCTGGCCGTTTCGAACCTGCTCCTGCTTATGGTTCTGGATCTGATCAGTATGGAGCTCAGCATGAATCTGGTTATGAAAGGAAGCCTGAATATGAGCAATCCGAATCTGGTTATGGACGAAAGCCTGAATTCGAGCAGCCTCCTTCGGAGTATGGATCTGGGTATGGCCGGAAACCCGCATATGAGCATTCACATCAATCGGATTATGGATCCGGTTATGGACGGAAACCCGAATTCGAGCAGCCTCCACCTCCTGAATTTGGATCTGGGTATGGTGGAAGACCTGAGTATGGGGAACACGGATCCGAATATGGATCTGGATATGGCAGGAAACCCGATTATGTGGAACAAGGATCCGAATACGGATCTGGATATGGCAGGAAACCCGGGTATGGGGAACAAGGATCCGAATATGGCAGGAAACCCGAGTATGGGGAACAAGAATCCCACTACGGATCCGGATATGGCAGGAAACCCGAGTATGGGGAATCCGAATCTGGATATGGATCTGGGTATGGCCGAAAGGCTGAGTACGAAGGTGGCGGATCTGAATATGGGTCCGGATATGGACGCAGGACCGAAACTGAGGGCGAGTATGGATCTGGTTATGAAGGTAAGGCAGAGACCGAATACGGGTCAGGATATGAGAGGAAACCAAGTTATGGGAAATCACAGGAAGAGGAGGAAGGGTATAGGAAGCCGAGTTACGGGAGGAAACATGATGATGAATCAGACGATGAAAAGAAGAAGAGTTATGGTTATGGCGATGAAGAAGGCTATGACCGCAAGAAATATGTGAGTACCCTTAATTTCATTTAATTCGAGATAAAAGTTGATAGCTTTGAACTGATTTGCAGTTTTAATTTTGTGTCTGATTTAAGTATCGTTTTTTGTCTTTTGATTGAATGTTTCTTGGATGGCTTTTGCTAATTGTTAGATGTTAAATTTCCTTCTTTTAACTATTTTTTTACTCCTGGCTTTGCTTTGTTGAGATTTATGCCGTTTAACCGTACACTTGTATGATACTTATCTGAGTATAATAGTTAAAATTATCAGCCATCTGATTAGAGTTGAAAACATGTTAGGAGCAGATAAACTGCTGTGAGAATATTTTCCCTTTCATTTGCAATAGATATCCAGTGGTTTACAACTGAATTGAACTTTGAACTAGCTAATTGAAGATAGAACCCTTTGGATACCATGCATTATATTGACTCGTATTAAGTATTAACAGGACCAGATTTTATGTTCAATCATTCCTGTTAGTGTCAATCTCAAGGTATTTGTGATGCAATGTTGCACATCCATTCTGGTAGCTCGGTGTCGGATTTATGAATCCATCCTGGCCAACTGTGTCCTTGTTTGTTAGTTCGTTGCATACTTAGGCAATAGATTCTCAATTGCCTGTCAAAGACCAGATAGCTACTCTATATTGATTGCTTTAGTTTTCTCCAATTGCAAGTACTCTATATTCTTCTGGTGTGTTGTTAGCTTTGATTCTTTTCTAGCATCTTCATCATGTTGATTTTCAAGTAATTTGAGTTCTAGAAGAATCATCATATATTGGAAAAAATGGAATGCTGTGGTTTACTCTGTTGTTATATGCATACTTGTTTATGTTGGATTATTTTAGCACAAAACTCATTTATTTAATGTTACAGGGTGGCGAAAACAGTGATGATGATGAAGAGAAGCATCATCACCGCTATAAGCACCACCACCATAAGCGCCATGACGACTATGATGAGTAGTCATACTGGTGGTTCCCTCTACAGATGGAGTTCATGCCATAGTAGCTACCTCCTTACCGGTGTTGGTGTGCTTTGTGTCTGTTCGATTGTCAATCAATAAAATGCCAAACATTGGGTTACTGCGGTTATGCTTGGTGTTTATGAATTTGGTGATGGTATTATAATGTCATGATGTACTTTTCGTATTAACACAACTTGATGATTATGATATACAATATAAATGCATATGTTTGTGATGTGCTTGCGGATTAAAGTTAGCATATATGATATATGATATAATATGCTTATGCTTTTACTTTGATACCTAGATTGCTATTTAATTATTGGGTAAATTACACCGATCATCACTGAATTTACTATATTTTCTATTTCACTTACTGTATTTTAAAACCGTTCAATTTCCTCGATAAACTTAATGTAATTAACGTTTTTGGTTATTTAACTGTTTTCTCCACTAATGGTGTTATGATGTGTATTTTTTTATTATCATATTTCAAGTAAAAAAAAGGAAAAAGATTAAAAGAAGGGGTATTTTCGCTTCCTTAGCACAACTGCCTTCTCTGTCGCTTCTTTCCCATCCTTTCCTCAATTCCTCCCATCTTCTTCCCTCTCTTGTCCTCTCTTTGTTTCATTATATGGTATTTTCATTTCATATTCTCTCTCAAAAGCTCTCTCTCTCATTAATCGTGTGGTTTTTTTTTTCTTTTTTTCTTGGCTTGAGAAAACAAGGTGAGTTCTTTTTTTTGTTTACTTTTTGTATGATTTGTTGATGATTGGATGAGATATGAGACATATTCGCTATGTTTTATTTCTCTTGAATTTTACGATTGTTCAGTTTAAAAGGCAATCTTTTTATCTTTTCAAAGGTATGTTCTTTATGATTTTTGCCTCTAAAATCTGCATATCCTATCAATTTTGTATGGTGGATTTTGGTTTGGGAATTGTCTCTTTCTTGTTTATGCATTCAATTTTAGTTTCTTTGTATGGTTGTCTTTTCTTTTATATGGGTAAACAAGGGTGTTGTAGATGCTGTGAAAGCAAACTTCCCAACAACATTTCATGGGTTCAACATACATGATCTCATTGACAGTTTCCTGCGGCTCTATTTTGTTGTTCGTGCAGAATCCGAGAACGGGTCTGATTCGTTGCGGTACTACGATTTCAACCTTTTTACTATTGGCGTCGGAAGTTGTGGTGTTTGTGCTTCCCATTTAGCTGCCAATTTTGGTGTTTCTATTGCTATCTGTGAGCTTCCGTTTTCAAATATTTCTTTCGAGACCACCGGCGGTGTTGGCGGAATGTAAGTCGCCATGTGTAGAGATAATTGTTTTATTCAATTGTACAATCTATAAATTATTTACTTGTGTGTAAAGAAAACTTTTGAGTTAATTGCACATTGAATTATATGAACCGGATTTGCATGTACTTTTTGCAATTTGATGATAGTAATGGCGGAGGGAAAGGAGAGGGAAGAAGAGGGTGGAGAAGAGGACATGGAAGGAGGCGGCGGAGGAAAAAGTTGATTGGTGTTGGAGAAAGACATTTACCTTTTTTTAATCATTTTCCCTTTTCTTTTGACTTAGAATATGGTAATTAAAGATATAATAAAAAATTCACGTCATAACTCCGTTAGTGGAGAAAACGGTTGAATGATGTAATCACATTACGTTCAGTAAGTAAATTGAACGGTTTTAAAGTGAATAAAATAAGAGTAAACTATATTCATGGTCACCCAACATTTAGGATGTTTTATAATGAAATTGAAAAACTTTCATCATTAGTCATTGATTTTTATTGTGTTTTAATTTTGTTAACGGCAGTTGAAATACATTAACGGTAACCAAGTCTACAGGTGATATTCATTATCAGTGAAATTATGTCACTTTCTTTTTAATAAATTAATATTTCAAATAAAATGACAACAACTCACGAATGTATGAATTACATGTGGATGTGGTAGGTAGTATATGAGTACTAGGTTTATCGGGAAAAAGAGCCCAACATTACATCTGTTACATTGGTATGCATATACCAAATTCTTTAAAATGAAATTTGGATATATATTTTGTTCGAAATTTTGATGTAATGACACAAATTTTATTATTTAGGTAAGCTTAATATACACTTTAACCCTACTACCTTTACGAAGACGGGATTTGATTGACGCCATGGCCGTGGCCACCCCTCCTTTTCTGTTTTCATTTCCAAAACAATGCAATCTGCTGTTGCCTCATCTTTCAGCTTCTTTTCTAATAACATCTCTTAAATTTTAATTACGAAAATAATCTTATGTGCTCTTATTCAGTTGACACAGTCATCAACAAATAAAAATATGGTGAGGTATACGGATGATCACCTAATTATTGTTTCATTTCACTTTGATTATTGGTATTTCGATTTAATCAATTAAATAATTAAACTATTTAAATGCTTTAATCTTATCACTAACCGTTAATAACATGGAGAGAATTGAACTTAGGGCCTTCAGAGTAGAAATGGTGAACCTTGCCCACCAATCCAAAGCATATATTTAGTAATGTTATACAATATTATTTATATATCCTTAATATTTTGTTAATATTATATATATATATATATATATATCCTTATTTGTTACTATTTAATAAATATAATGAATGGTACATGTACTGAATTAATCTTTTTTACAATTATCATAATATATATCTAATTAAAAGTTTAAAGACCAAATGTAACATAATTTTTTTACTCCAAAAATGATGTTAAAAAGATTAATAAGTGTCATTGATAATATTAAATAAATAAATAATGAGGAAACATTATATTATATTAAGTATAACAAGGATGTTAAAAAATATAAAATAAATATTTAAAGTGCTAAACTCATCTTAAAAATATAAAATTTTAAATTTTAAATAAATTCTGTTAAAATATGATGCTTACGTACTTCTTAACATACCAACGATACTAGGAGATTTTGTAAAACAAGTGTCTAATATATATGTGATTATATAAAATTAAAGGTATTACTATAAACTTTGGCTTGGTGGATAAAATGTACCATTTTTTCCCTCACGGACCTAGGTCCAATTATTAATGATATATATTAATATTGTAACATCCTCAATATCGGGTTAGTGACTAAATTGAAAATTTTCATAATTTGTTGGTCAAAGTAGATAAATTGAAAAGTTTAGGGACTCATATTGTAAATTTTGTAGAGGATTAAATATCAAAGAAGGAGAAATGGAAGGGAAAATGGTCATTTGACCTAGAAATGAATTAAAAATGAATATAGGGTTTATATAAGTTACACGTGGGAGATGAAGGGAAAAATGAAGCTTTCTAGAGTTCTCTTATTCTTCTTCTTTCTCTTCACCTTGGAACCCAAAGGCAAAGGTGAGTTTCCATGTTCGTTGGTTATTTGTTGAGTTCAAGCTTGGTTTATGATCCTTAAGTGATAAGTAAGCTTAAGGATAGCTTAAATTGTCTTAAAACCATAAGATGAAGGAATTGGGAGAGTTTTAAGATAATGAGTTTTTAAATGAAATTTTAGGAAAGAGTTGATAAGTGGATTTTGAAACTAAATTTTGACTTGTCAATGGTTAAATTAAGAAGTGTGAAGTGATAGAATGGAATTTAGAACAAGTAGAAAATTTGGTATGATTCTTGAATTCCATTAAGATGATAGGATTTTAAGGTTAAAGATGTGATAAATGAGTATAAATGGGCTTAAGTATGTGTATTTGAGTTTAGTATATGAAAAGGGATGAAACATGAAGTGTTGAAGTTGAAAAGAATGAATTTTCGTGTTTAAAATTGAGTTCTGTGCAAAGGTGTATCAGTACCCATTCAACAGGTATCGATACCTCAAGAGTAAAATTCAGGAAGATGTTCAAAGGGTACTGATACCTTAAGGAGTGTATCAATAACCCCTTGAAACGAAAAATTTCGAATGTAATTTGGTTATTGATACGCAGGCAGTGTACCGATACCTCAGTGAGGGATGTATCGATACCCTATAGAGTGTATTGATACCTACGTTAAACAAGGAATGAAATTAGCCTGTCCTTTAGTATAAGAAATTAAAGATTAGAGTATATCAAGTGGAATACTGATATGTATCAATGTATAATTATGTATATATTGAACGTAACTTTGTTCTAGAGCAATTGAAGAATTAGAATCGATTCAATTCAAACAATGCTCAGGTGAGTGTGTATTAGTGATGTATGATTAATGGAAATAAAACTCGCGATGAGTCTATTTCCTATAGTAGTATACATGAATCATGAATATGAGCATGTGATTGATATGAGGATATGTGATTATATATTTTTTACATGGTTGTGTGAACATATGTGAATGTATGGAATCCATGTAACATGATAAACGATAATAGAGACATAAGGAATTGTATAAATGGAATTATGATCTAAAATATGTAGGGTTCTTATGTGATATAAAGTATAGTACAAAGGATATAGGAAATCACATGAGAAGTTTATAGGAATTGTACATTACAAATAAGTTATAAGAATAAGTGGGAAAGTAAGATAAATAAATGACATAGCCGCAAATTATATCATGAATCAGTGATATAAGAATATGATATAAATTGTGTCATAAGAACTATGTGTTAGATGATAGGAGATAATATATATATATAGTTATATAAGACTTGATACAAGATATTATATGACTATGTGGATGTGGATTATACGAAAATGCTCTATATGGAAATGAACCATGTGTCTCTATGAGTATGTGGAAGTAAGTGATGTGCTTACATGATTACAAGATATGAGATAGGACATGAGATATATGAAGAGAAAATATATGTGATATGTGAAAGTGAATCGTATGTCTATATGAATATGGGAAATGATATGAAAGAGAATGCCCATGTTTTATTAAATGAGAGCTAGAGGTATAGTTGGCATGCCAAGAGTCAAGGGTTACCTATGTATTTCGAGACATATGGAAAGTTTACCTATGTCTTTCGAGACATATGGGCAGTTTACCTATGTCATTCGGGACATATAGACAGTTACCTATGTTCTCCGGAAC